CCTGCTACCCCTCCTGTACCAAATTATTCCATGCTCAATTTTTCAACAATGATGATGGTTATTAGATGTATTTACTTATGTTTGTGCCTTGGTGAAACAGTACATTTACAGATAAACTGAGTCTACAATTCTTTAAAAATAGCAAGAGAAATTCATGTTAGATAGATGACATTTTTTCCATTTAGCTCAATTCAAGCAGATTTTTCTACAAGTCATGACTTTACAAAAAAAATGGATTTTTCTCATCCAAATCCTAACTACTGAGGCCAGAACATGTTATTCTCCATTTATTTTTAGTGAAAAAAATAAATAAAAGGTACCACAAGTGGATCTATTAACAAATACTCTTACATTTGTGTAGATTCTTACTGAAGTCAAGCCAGGATGAAGCCCATTGCACAACTTTACACAGAAAATTGATTTTAAGCCAGAGCTTAGAGCAGAACCCAGCTCTGTTAAATACTACATTCAGTGCTTTATCAGTTGGTCATCTAACCTTAATGGACCTCAACCTCTAAAAATCCTTTCCCATTCCTCTCTCCTCCTTTCACCTTAAGGTTGTTAACTGAGTTTTTGGAGAAAAATTCAACAACCAATTCTACTATAGTTAAGTCATAGAGAATACTTACTAAACAAGCAAGTACTAAATGAAAGCTAGATAAAAATAATATAGGTACAAATATACAGATTTAAGTAAGAAAACATTCGCACTCACCACTGCCATTATTGGAATAGATACCCCAAATATTTCAGAGTCAGCTGATCCGAAGTTGAAGCTTAAAACAAATGTTACAGAGAAACATCACAACACTAAATTGACCTTTTTTGTTAAAATGAAATCTAGATATATAAGGCTTGGGTCTGCATCACATATGAAAGGTAATGCTACCAATTTATTTTAAAGAAAGCATTAAAACTATCACTTTAATAAATAATGATAGTAAAAATAAAGTTTTGGATGTAGTGTTAATAAAGTACATTTGCATATAAAAATAATTTAAATTTTTTTGTGCATCTATATATTACTTTGCCTCTGAGATTATGCAGTATTTATTTCTAAAGTCAATTAATTTAACAGGTATCATATTCTTTTAAATATGCTTCATAGTTACCTTGTGTCTTTCACTGGAGGATAAACAGACATTGGAATGGAAAGTAAGTAACACAAAGCAGGATTCCAACATTTCTGAAATAATATGGAAAAAGTAAAAACGTCAGCAACTCTCTCAGAAGCACAATAAATAGCAACAACATTTTTCAGAACAGCACATACCGTAAAGGGTTCAAAAACGCCTGTAGCACTAGCATTTGAGTAATCTGTAGCATACACAGAACCTATCACAAAAAAAAAGAACAAAGTAAGACTTTAGATATCCAAATATTTAAGAGTCATTTTAAACATACTTGTTCTTTAAACATCGCAGTGGCTCCAATGAAATATAAACTAGGTGTCTATAGGCAAAGTCATAATGACACAATGAGCACGTAAACTTTATCTGCCGCTCACTATAATGTATATATATTAATTACCTTATTTTGCCCTCATGAAACTGGCTAGGAGAGAGCTGGTACTTTTGACAACGTGTACAACACTAACTGCATCACTGCCTACTCTAATCTATCCAATTGCTCAGGCATTAGCCCTCAGGACAGAAACTTGTAACTTCTACATTGGTAACAATTATTTGTATTTCACTTTCACAGGTACTTTTCTTCAACCAAAGCCAATTAGTTCTAGTAGTCCTCTTTAAATCTTCAATGCTTAAAACGTTGATTACACTGAATAATTATTTCCCTTTCTGACTACCCCTCCAGGCAGGCCCAAATAATAATCAATTCTGAAGTTGCTGGGGTTTTTTTAAACAGTAAATATATTACAATATTAATCAATTATTCTACGAAATATCAATGACAGTCATGAGCATCATTACTTAGATTCCAATATGTTTTATTAATATTTTAGAGAACTGTAACATTCACCTTTAGTCAGTCTATACAGTAACCAAGTGTCAACTGTTCCAAAGCAGCAGTTATTTTTTTTGGCGGCTTCTTCAGCCTGGAAACAAATATACATACAAAAAAAAATATTTACAACTGGATACAATAGAGAGGAACATATTTCCTGATTCCTTTTCTCATTTTCTTTGTGGTTAATGATAACGTCCCCAGAAAACAAGTCTCTGATTGCCAGTATTTCCTCTGAAAAAGGGCAAATCAGCTATATAAGTAATATAATCCTATCCAGTTCATGCTCCTAAAAAAGAATAAGCACAGTTTCTTACAATCGCTGCTAAGAAAAGCAATTAATTTTCTACTGCGTTGGCATCAGAGCCTTAAGAAGGGAAACTTAATAGTCACAGTTATAACAGTGGTGAAGGAGTGGTAAATAAAGAGAACAAGGTCCTGCATACTGCACTTAAATAAAGAATTAACAGAAGAAATAAATGTATTTTTAAATATGTGCTTGAGAACAATAAAGACAGAGCCATCATCTTCTGGTTTATGTCATCTGTAAAGAGCTCAAAATGTTATTTTCCTTGAGATTTTTTCCCCCTTTAAAATGGGAAATTCAGGTTTCATCTAATTTCTACTAATTGACAGTGTGTAAACTACAGAATTCAGAAAAACCACACACAAATTAGTTCACTCAAAAATGACTGAATACATTGTTCTCTGTAATTAAGAGCCATGTATTTTTGAGCTTCTTGGTTTGATAGTCACATATTTTAAATATCAGTGCCTGACAAGATGTGGGAGAACATTCATCACACATTGAAAACTCAGCAGCTGCATTACCTTCAGTTCTATAATCCTCCAAATTCACACCTCACATTTTCAACAGGTCCAACCAAAACACATCAGTAAAAAATTATACTTGACCTTTCCAAAAGATAGCTTTGTGACAGAAAATACCAGACAAAAAATACAAAAGATTTTCGGGTTTCTTTACAGGGTAGAAAAATCAATGATAAACAATTTCTTCAAAAATAACTTGAAAATTAACAGAAAATATGACTGAAGTTACAAATACAATAGGAAGAAACAAGGAAAATGGTAAGGATTAGAGCAAAAGATACAGCAACAAATAGCTCAATGCTCATGAGTCCATGAGATTATTCTAGCACAACTAACTTTACGTGTAGTTTCCAGTTCATACTACAACAAAATGCAAAATAAATTGCAGTGTTTGATTGTTCAGTACAGTATTATTTGTGAAACTGCAAACACTGGAATAATGCAGAGTGGAAAAATAAGAGTACCAGTTGAAAATAAATATAACTGTCATGCAAAACTGGAGTGCAAACAACTTTAAAACAAAGTAAAATTACTAACTGTATATGAAGTAAAATAAGGTGATTTGATTATGTTTCTTATGCATGAAGAAAACTTTTTACTACTACACATTTCCAGAATCAGAGGAAAAAGTTATATAAATGTGAGTAGATATTTAGGCAGACAGGCTTTGAACATTAACACAGCTAAAAGTCTTTCGTTCTGGTTCTTTTTGAGGAAAAGAACAAGACAAAAAACTGAAGAGGCTACAACCAACCTAAGTCACTAGCCTTTATTATGACCTAAGAAAAGTATTATTTTTCCCTTTCCAGCTTACCTCATATATGTTTTTAAAGACCCATGACAACTTCATAGAAGTTTGTTGTGTTGAAAAAGTAAGAAAACTTGGTGCCAAGTATCGATCATTCCCAGTCAAGAAATGAAGTACTGTAAAAATAACATGGATTACCTGTTTCAAAAGAAAAGTTACGTAATTTTTAATCTGTCCCTTTAAAGGTTTCTGATCAACCATCTTTAAAGGATGACAACACAGATGAAACCTGCTGACTTGAGATTAGATTCAGAAAGCTAAAATTCTGTCACAGAATTCCTGTTACACAGGATTTCAACAGATAGCCTTCCCACAGCAAATATCACAGGAAAGAGCAGCTGCACCATGCAAGTGTCTTTTACTGACTTCTGCTGGCACATACTGACAGACACTGGTCTGCATTACAAAGACAGGCCACCTACATGAGCACAATGCACAATGTACCTGACAGCGTTACATACTGTTATTACAGTGAAAGTTCTCCTACAGAAGACAGGCTCAATCATGTTTTACTAGAATAACCAAAACTTAATCAAGTTTTCATTCACAAAAGAAATCAGTGGCAAACCCAAGAATTTAACTTCTTATCATGTGCTAGTTAGTTTCCACTTACAGGAACTTCAGTTTTTCCACTTCAAGCAAATCTCTCTCTTCTAAAGGTATGAAGCACAAGCCATGAGCAGCATAAAATGTACCTTCTATAGATAATCTGAGCAGAGAGTACATTAAAAAAAACCCACAGAAAACAAAAAACCCAAAACACTGCCAACCAAGAACTACCTACATCCAAAAATTATGCTGTAGCAGTGTTAACATGCAACATTACAGGTATCTTTTCCCATAATTAATTACCTTCAGGCTATCACTACTGCATTTTTTCTTAGTACTATTGTCTACGCTAATCTTGCTCAGTTAAATGTTTTTAGGCCACAGCACCTCATATTAACATGTTAACAGGACACTTGCAGTATTTCATATATTCCCCTTACTCTTCATAAAAATGAAACAGTTCTAACACGTCCAAGTAGTATCCAGCTTAGCACAGTTTTACCTTCAGCAGAAGGGACTTATTCCAGGAATTCACAAGTTCAGCACTTCTTAAGTCTTGCCAACTTATGAAATTATGAAAAGGTTTTCCTGTCCTCCTGAAAAACAGTATTTGAACATTCCCATTTAAAACTACAGAACATACACTGCTTAAAAAATTCAACGTCATTCACCATTTCCAGTCAGGACACTTAACACTAGGTCAAGTCCTAAAATAAGTACATATCCTCCTGGTGGATTTGAGAAATTAGTAATAGGCACACAGTCATTTTGAGTGTGAGCCTTCTCACTAAAATTTTAAAATATGTATTTATTCATCTCTTCCAAAGTACTAAAGACAAAACAAAAAGAACATAAACTTTTAACCACTCCGAACTGCTGTAAGGTATGGTTGTGCAAACGCAAGAGAATACAAGTGACTGATACTTGCTCTTTTCAGTTTGAGATTTGACTGAATTCAACGTTTCTATAGTCTGCTTCTAGGAATGCAAATGAATACAAATTCATTTTAAACCACACACAATATACATACTTGTGCCACGTAATGAAAGTTGCTCTCTGCGTTGAGATGCCAAGACCAGCAATTTGCCTCATGTGAAGTCCCGCAGCTAGAAAACAAAAACAAGCCACACAAAAATAAAGCAATTATTTGAAAAAACAATATAACTATAAAACCTACAGAATACTTAGGAAATTAATAATTTAAGAGAATATAAATCTCTACAGACTGGCCAACTAAGTGGCTATAGCGGTGAAGTATCAGCAACCTCTAGTAAGACCAACTGATTCCAAACCAGGTGAATAAAGCTCTGTATTTTACAAAAGCAGCTGTGGCACGCTAACCCTTTCCACCTTCTGAAAGCCCTGTCAACACTTTACTTGAACAATCCCAGAGGTTTTACTTTACTTTACTTAACAATCCCAGAGACAGGCAGGCATGTTACATATGCCTATATCGTCAATTAAAATGTGCATTTCATATGGCTGAATGTGAACGAAAGCACAAACAGAAGGACTAAGTACCTTTACAAACTTACGGAAATGAATTCCATAAAGAAACAAATCTAGATTGATTCTGTAGGCAGTAAAGAGATTAATGTCAATATGCCATGATTTTTTATGTCACTTTAATAATGCAATGTCTCACCTTAAACATTATATTCCTTAAGCAATCTTTCAAAATTCGTAAGAACAAATTTGCTAAAACCACATATCACTGAATGCAACAAACTATACTTCAAATTCAGCTGTATAAACGTGCATTTGGGTATACACCAATTTTGCTGTTAAACCTTACCTTCAAATAACTGCTACAGAACGTTTTTTCTAATATATATAACTGTAAATAATTACATATGTCCACAGCTATTTTCAAAGCATCTCTAGTCAGCTTCCCAAGTACTTCCATGCTTGCTTTCAGAAGCAAAATTATGTGAAAAAAACATGCATTAAGAAATCCCACTTAAATGACAGACTACTTATTTGGCCCAAAGTACTGTTACTCTGAAGGGTTCTCAATCCCGCTACTTGAACAAATCACAGGTTAAGCAGGTCCTGCTCGTACACGTTCTTGTGTTAACTTTCATGTGCAAAGTTACTCATTTGCATAAGCACATACTACAGACTCTACAACTGACAGCCTCTGAGTGACAATTACAGACAGGATTTCACAGAGGAAGGGCACGTCTTGCTCTGTCAACCTCTACATGTGCTTCAGCACCTTCCATTGTACCGGTCCTTGCATTCACACAGGCAGTGGTATCAAAGCCCTCAATGAGCTGAAAATTATTTTTAATTCCAGACAGTCATTCCTGCCCCTGGTACCACACCGTTTCCTGTGCTGGCACAAATACTTGCAAAGCTCGGCTGGCATAAACAACCGCACAGTGATTTGACTCAAGAAACTGCTCTGGACTGGAAACAACTCTGTGAAACGGAGGGTTGAACTGCTTCTTTTGACAGCAGTGTGCACTTATGCTTGTTTACGTTACACAACCACTTAAAAATGACTTGCTGACAGTGCGCACAGCTTGGCCACAATAAAAGCTTCCCGTTTTAAAACTAGCTGAAAAAAATTGCTTCCTCATTTGCGCCACAGAATGGGAGTGGAGGAAGCTAGTAAAGTCTTTAGGAGCTGAGGTGACACTGCTATTCTTGTGACAGAACAGTTGTGGCTGCTAAGAAAACAGAACAGCTACAGCTTACATCTGGTAATGCTTACTTTCCCTGTCCCCTAGCTGCCTTCCAAAGGAAAAGACAAGAGTTTTGCCTTGAGCCAGCCCTGGAGACAGAGCAACACTTGGAGACCAAACTGCAAGAGGGGCTGAAAAGGAGGAACTTTAGGCATTGAAAACAACAGTATGACACACATACACATGACAAGGAGGCTGGGGCACTGTAAGAAAGCGAGCTGGGGTGCAGTTGACAGGTCCACGGCATCAGCGTGGCACAGAAGGTGATCTGTGCTGGATCACAGAATGCTGGAGCTGGTATAATGGGAAAGCTTGTAGAGAGTAAGCGTGCAGTTAGAGCAGAATCCAGAGAATGGGGGGGAAAAAAAACCTTCAGAAATTTGGCAGAAAAGGGCGTTGAATGCGTTTTAGTGCATGGAGTACTAGGAAATTTTAGGCTAGAGTACAAATAGAGAACAATAATACAGAAATTGGATGGTAAGAACTGTCTGTAGTTTCAATGAGGAAAGTGGGAATATCAGGTTGTAATCGAGTGAGCACAACTATGCAGCACCCTGCTGTCACTCTCTCATACACTCACATCCGCACACACAAAGCAGCAGTAGAATAATGGGGAATCTGAAGGGGAAACAAGCCTACTCTGTTCATACACAGAGGCATCTGGAGGAAGGGAGACAGTCACTGGGGAAGGACACATATACAAAAAGCTGGAGCAACAAGGCGCTGTTACTGACATGTAAATCAAGTATGTACACTGCTTCTGGTTCTACTTCAATCCTAATCTGGCCCCACTGAAAGAAAAAAAGCAATTTAAGTATCCTATTTTACATAATGATTGAATAGGCCTTAAAACAAATTGCAGAGCTGTACTCAATGATGAATTTTCAGTACATTAAAAAAAATCTTATTATCTAATTAACTAACTTTACTAATTTTGATGAAAAATTTATTAACTTCTCAAACTTTATAAGCCATTACCTTGTACAGCCTCTTTTATTACACCAACAAACTGACTCCACAGCACTTCAGGATCTAATTCAACCCAGCCAGGACGAGGATAAAGCGATTCCACCTGTTCATGAATGACACAGCACTGTTACGATCCCTAGTACAGAGAAATCAGCATTCTGGTGAAAGTTTGTGCAAACACATTTGGTTTTGCTTTTTTTTGTTCTTAATTTTCTGAATCTACTACAAGAGGAGAAACAACAGTGTGCGTCACTTTTAAAAGACGCGGAATGTGAATGTGTGATCTCTAGAAGACCTTCTCCGTTCAAAGGCAATAAAGTAGTCCAAACCGCCAGGAACTGGGGAGCCTGTAAACCCCTTTCAGGGCTCCAAACTAGAAACCAGGTTTCCCGGAGAGGCTTTTGGCTCCGCTGCTGCACTCAAGACGTCAATGCCTCTGAGCCGTTCAGCAGTGGCACAGCACAGCAGGCCAGGGAGCACCCAGCAGATGGGCTTCCAGAGAGAGAGGGTCAGCTCCACTGAGAATGTCCCCCTCCATCTCTGAAAATCTATCAGATTTCTTACACTTCCCTTTGCTGCAATCTTTTCATTGCAATCACTAGGAATAAAAAAATTATTTCTGGAAATTGTCTTCATCACAAAATCGTGAGCCATGCAAACCAAAAGCAGCCTGAAATTCATGTTCCAAAGTTAAGGCTCTTATGCAGCGCTGTTATGTAATGCAAGTCCTACACAAGTCTCAGCTGTACTCTACTAACAAAAGTTGTTTTGTTTGAAGAAGGATTAGTCGATAAGCGACTAAAAAAAAGGTACCAGGGAAAGGTGGGCGGGAGCAAACGCTGGGAGATAACTGAGTGCAATAGTGGTGTTCCCCGTGCGGCTCC